AAGAATGAAGGAAAACAATAAAAGAAGCAAGAAGCTTATCTGTGTGGAGAATATTTGGCACGTTGATATTAATTAAGTTGTTCAGCACTTTCATTTTAAACAAAACATGAAATAAACTTGTTTTTTTTTATTTTAACTCACAATACCTCGAAATAAATATTTTATGTTTGCTCCTTTATCACAACGTAAAAAAGCAGAAGGTTGATTTTGAGAACAAAAATTTGGCAGATGTAATGTACTATGGGAATCGATGTTATGCGAGGCATGGGGCGGGAAGGTGAGTGTGGTGTAACTTTTTGTTACAAGTGGGAAAGATTATGAAATGATGCTGCATGTACATTCACATTTTATAGGCACAGGCATATGTGTTTAACAGTCGCACATGTTGGTTTCAACTAGTTCTTTACAGTTGCGTAACAATGCCAATAGCAACATGGGTATTGCCAACACCAGAAGCGGTAAGCTGAAATGTAGCGCTTATGCTTGCGAGAATACTAGCCCTGGAGAATGCTACGTAGACGAAGTTTAGTGTAATTTGATTGATATGTGGGGTTTAACGTCCCAAAGCCACCATATGATTATGAGAGACGCCGTAGTGGAGGGCTCCGGAAATTTCGATCACCTGGGGTTCTTTAACGTGCATCCAAATCTGAGCACACGGGTTTACAACATTTTCGCCTCCATCGGAAATGCAGCCGCCGCAGCCGGGATTTGATCCAGCGTCCTGTCGTTCAGCAGCCGAGTACCTTAGCCACTAGACCACAGCGGCGGGGCGAATTTCAGTGTATGGTTCTTAAGTACTACAGTTGACGCTAACATGACGCGATGCATGTATCGTTGCAGTACATATGTATAAATCTTGCAAAAACTACTACTTCGGCGAGTTAATTCATGATTAGGATAGATTTGCAGGTGCAAAAAGACGAAACACTAAAAAAGGAACACACACATAGATTTGAAACGGATGTTTTTTCAAGTGGGCTACTGGCTCTAAACCGAAAGGTACCTAGCAAAGCTTCCAAGAAGTTGCGTGAAGGTGCTTACTACATGGTTTTCACAGTCTTCGTAGATGTGCACTCAAAACAAAAACTGGACGCCATGTGAGCGCGTTGAATCTTGCAGTGCCTTTTGCATGATGCAGTCCGACAAAAACGGTGGACTTCATATGATGTACAGATGTTTCTTTATTGAAAAAGCCTGGCAAGCTGTTAACAATAATTTAAGGAATGTGAAAGTAAGCTTGACTGAAGTTAAGGAGGATGTAAGATGAAGAAGTCGGGGCATAGTGATTGTCTAAACTGACTGTCTAAACTTCTCGTAAAATAACTCAAACGCGTTGTTGTGAATATTTTTTATAAGAAATTAAGTTGTTGTTGTTGTTTTTTGTGCACGTGAATGAAGGTTTTTTTTCTATTCCACATCGTGAGCTGTTGTTAAGCAGTGCATTGATGAAAGTGGCGAGGCTAATTTCGTTGCCAGCAAGGAATGGCCGATTCCAGTTTTATGACTTTGTTTGAAGCTTGTCTGAATAGCGCCTTCTTTTATTTTCAAGGTGACATTTAAAAAGAAGGATTTGCATTGACTCCAGTGTTGCACCAATTTTATGTGACATCTTGTTATCACATATCGACCATCATGTTTTACTTGATCTCGTCCTTTTAATATTTCTAGACATGTTCGTAATTTCTAAAAATATTGTAGGCGTGCGCTGTGTCGTACTATGAGACTCTATTTTGAATGCCTGAGGACAAATACGAAAGTACCAACTTTCACTTATGAGCTTCCCACCAACCATTATTTGCACTTTTTAGATATTAACCAAGCGGTGACAAATGGTCATCTTGCGTTTACTTTGTCTTGTAGTAAGCGTGGTTTCCATACGATCAAAGACATGTTAAGCATGGCATCCCTCTGCATTGCTTTCAATCTGCGCTGCGCAATTCGTGTCCGAAGATTATGCAGGGTAGCCGTTGTACTCAGATTGACAGCCTTGAAAAGACTGGCATCCCTCAAAGGGTCTTGAATCACTGAAATTTTAGCGAGTTTGTACTTGAGCATAGTTGTAATAAGAGCGCTCGCTTCTTGTCTGCTTACGCGCTCTCATTACCACTACGGTCTTGAATGCCGTGGCCAAGTTTTTGGTGCGAAAACTGAAAATCAGTACTCCGGAAGAGCACCTGGAAGAACGGGAGCGCGCAAGACCACAGGTGGTGCCTTAATTGCGTGCACAAGGTCAGCCATAACCAGAAGAAGGTGGCCACTAAGTATGGAACTCCTGTCGTGTTCTCCGCTCCAAAGAAATTGGTCCAGTTGTGCCAGCGAATCTCTCGTGCTGCGCCACAAAGGTGCCAAAAGAAGCACGTGAAAGCTTTCTGCCGTATTGCCGAAATTGTCGTCTACGAGATTACTCTGAGCTGTTTCAAGTCCCATGAAGGAGAAACGTGACGGCGCATTAGGAGCATGCCAATAGCATTGGAAAAAGTGATGGCACGCATCTTTCGGCACAAGTTGAGTCATGCTCATGTGTGCCACGTTTCGTACAAGTTAGCATTATTGGCAAGAGTACAGGATCAAACGTCGAGGGACTATCAGAAACGTTTAACGTAAGAGGAGTCTGCCTGTGTCAGTGATTCCTCATTTGTGCTGTACGGATCTGAATTATCCATTTTCAACAGACAGTCGTCATAAGATGTCTCACGTCACTCTTCCACGCATCTGGGCGTGCTAGGAAGTGTTTTGGTTATCAAACTTAGCTGTGATTGATCGATATGTTGTATTTAACGTCCCAAAACTGCCATATGATTATTAGAGACGCCGTAGTGGAGGGCTACGGAAATTCCGACCACTTGCGGTTCTTTAACGTGCACCCAAATTTGAGCCCATGGGCCTATACAGCTATTTCGCCTCCATCAAAAATGCAGCCGCCGCAGCCAGGATTCGATCCCACGACCTACAGGTCAATAGCTGAGTACCTTACCGACTAGACCATCACAGCGGGGCCCTTAGCTGTGAATAAGCAGGGAGTAGCTAGCGCTCATCTCTGCTTTTTTTTTTCGTTTCCTGTCTTGATGTGTCCAGCTTTCCGCCACAAATAACATGTTTACTAAAATTGTAAGAAATATTTTCCACTTCAGCACCATAGCCAAAGCTTATAAAACAGACCCAGAATTGTAGGTCAGCGATGCACTTCTTGAAAAATCAAACTTTGTCATTTTTAAAACCGTTGCAGTTAGTGACATCAGCTTAACTTTCATCAGACCAAGTGATGTTACGAGAAATAAACTTTGGTGGCATCATTGCATTAATGTTTTAGTCATTGGCTTTCAGAATAGTGCAATCTGAAAGTTGCAAGTTGCAATAGTACTTTTCCGGCTGAAGGTAGACTTTTTTTTTTCTCTCTAGACGTCCACAATATATTGCCACCTACTTCTAGTAGTGGGTCGTATGCCAAGGTGAAGGCTCACACCACAGAGAAGAAAGAAGTGCGCGTGAGCCCCCCCTGCTCTGGCAAACAAGCCCAACCAACGTGCTTGGTTAGAGCCCTGTTGCTCAGACGTCAATAAACCTTGTCGACACCCCCTGGAACGACGTGACAATGAGTTTTTTTTTTTTTTTTTGAAAAGGAGAGCCGATTCTTTTTGATGGAGATATTTGCTCAGCCTGCTGTAGACCCGTGTGCTCAGACAAGGTTGCACGTTAAGGAACCCCAAATGGTCGCAATTTCCGGACTCCTCCACTACGGCGTCTCTCATAATAACACGACGGTTTCAGGACGTTAAATCCCACATATCAATCAATTATTTTTCCAGCCCATATATTACTTTAGTGCAGAACAAAAATATTCAGTACCCCACTTGGTATGTTCCTACTTGAATGAAAGTTGACGTTATTATCATTATTAGCGCGATAGCGTTAAACAACCCGTTTCACGGAAATTTCGGCGTGGGTGGTTGTGAGCGAAAAATGATCACCTTTTGCGTGACCGAAACATCAAAAAAGTTGCAGATATAATAAATAATAAAAATTTATGGGTTAGAGTGAGGACCCAACCCAGGCCGTTTGTGCGGCAAGCAGGTGTCCTAACACACAGCCATGCCTCTGCTGGCTAGTACAGTGAAAAGAACTTCCTCCACTTGAAATGCAGTGAAAGTAACGTGTTTTACAAACACTCGAGTCCTGTTTACAGGGTTCCCAAAACAACATGTAATAGCGCAATAATATTGCGTGGTGAAGGCGTGCATTACGATCAGACATCAGACCATGTTATTATCATATGACTTCACGGTTTAAAGCGAGCCACACATTACAACAGGCACCCACGTTAATGCGCGTATTCCTTTGAGACCACGTAGTGGGCGCGTGTAGGAGAGTTCCGAAAGATTTCATGCGCGTAATTGCTCAGGATTTAAATCATGCCTCCCGTTACACGGAATGCAGCTGCACGCGAAGGCTTCACTGACACAAGCCACTTTTAAGTTTGTCTATTACATTCTAGTAATGCACAGTTTAAACTTCTCTACTAACATGAAACAATAAAAAGTGTGCACTAAGTGGTTGAAGTACGCTACAGGGACGGGATGTCGCTATCGCGTTCAACTCTTAAAGGCGAAGCTTACGGGTACCACAATTTATTATTATTATTATTATTATTATTATTATTATTATTATTATTATTATTATTATTATTATTATTATTATGTTTTGTTTTTTATGGGAATGTTTAGTAATTGATTCGTTGTTTATATTGAATTGTGTCAATGACTTTGCCAACAAAATACTGTGAAGTTATTGTCCCGATATTGGTCGATCACTTTAAGGATCCCCGGCACATCATACGAGTCATAGTGAAATAAGTCAAGCAAAGATTCAAGCTAATGATTCGCTTCGTTGCTTTATATGAGAAGTCCGTTTACAAACAAAAGGGTTCTTCAAAACCCGCTCTGTCCGAGAATCTCGCACATTGAAAGCGGGCATGTAGTAATGCCGCTGGATATTCCCAGGCCGGAGACCTGGGCGCTCTACAGCAGGCCGCCCAGGAGCTGGGACCTAACGCCGACCCTGTCCTTGTGCGCACCACAGCCGACCGACTTGCGGCCACCGGAAAGCACGATCAAGCTGTGATGCTGCTCGCCACCAGCGGACAGAGCGACGCCGCGCTTCAGCTGTGCATACAGTCCAACGTACTCATCACCGAGGAACTTGCAGACAGGTACTTGCTCATTCGACACAACTTACCGTCCGCGGCAGGTGTCTTGAAGGCTCAACCACCAAAAAATATTCTTGGCGTTTTCTATCCTCCGCCTTTCTTTGCCATCAACCTTGCTCCAACAACAAAAAAAATGTTTCATGAGACACGCTGCGAAATAAAGACACATGTTGCCTAGAGCCAGCCACAGTTTCAAATGAAGGTGTGGATTTCAATGCAAAAAAAAACAGCCATGGATGGCGCAATGCTGGACTCGAGAGGTAGAGGAAATTGTGAGGCATAAACTCGATGCGCCAGGGGCCTCATTGTTATGCCGAGAATCACGATGATGCCCCAGTATGTTTGATTTAACTAGGAACAGTTTACATACACCTAACGCTCTTGAAGTCGACAGTACGACTACGTAAACGTTCAGAAGGTCAAGGGTTCGAGTTGTGACATGCTTAGTAGGTCGTGCTTGTGATTCGTTATCCACCTAGAGTAGAATATCATTGATACGTTTTTCACGGCATCTAGAAAATAAAGCATATTATGGGGAAAAATTTTACCTACCGAGGTTTTTTTTTTTTTTTAAACTAGGAAAGTGTGCAAGCACCATCAGCAACTTTTACTGACCCACACTGAAGTAGCCAGTCTACTTATGCTGCTCCTTCTTCTTTTCAATCACTAGGAGTAAATTCTTCTGAAATGTATTCTTCTGAATCTTTGCCAAGCCAAATTCTTCGCATGGCGCACCATCGCCCTCAATGGACGCAGTGGCCGCGTTCGACAGGAAGTTTTTCAACCCAAAAACTGACACTATTGTAGCCGCCACGGCTGTGAAACGTTCATAATATGGTTTATTGGGACGCACTTTGAGCTTGTATACCGAACAATAAACCTAATATTTTGTAGCGTTAGCTACACTGACCTCGCTGAGCCAATTTCGCGTGGCACTGGTCTACGCATGCACATTGATACTCCGCCGCCGCCGCGCGCGGCTCGCCGCCGGTGTGCGCGCAATTCGATGCGCTGCCTGTACTTGCCTGATATCTGCTTGTACTTGCCTGATATCACTGCGTACGAGTGATAATGTGGCATGGGAGGCGACGCACACATTAGTTGCTCTAAAGCTTGCTTAGAAGTGCAGGCGCCATGGTGAACGTGCCTAAACTTGATATGTGCTCATGCTATGCAGCCTCCGTGTATTCGCGGTCGCTTTGACGAACTACACGTGTGAGGTGGCATTTTATCTAACGCACCTTGTGCGTCAGCTCTCATCAAAGTTTAGGAAAAAAAATCAGGCCGAAAACACGTGCCTCGCCACAGAAAGCGCATGCCTCGATGCTTGGCAGTTGGATCTGATGCCGCCACCGCGGCCTTCTTGCCTTTATACATTTCAGTGAACATAGTGCCGACGTCTAGGAAACTGAACGGCTTCTCCTTCGGTGTTTGAGGAAGGGAGCCATATAAAGAGGGGTCTGTTTTTCTTTATGTTATAAAGGGGTGCGTCAGGCAAAGCCGATGCCCGTCGGCAGACACAGGAGTGCAACGGCTTGACTAGTAGGAGTGAGCTTCTCAGTAAAGGAGGGAGGGAAGCTTTTTAAACGTGTGGACGTGTCCTTTCTCGCTCTCGTTTTATGCGTTCTTTGTGTGTGTGTGTGTGTGTGTGTGTGTGTGTGTGTGTGTGTGTGTGTGTGTGTGTGTGTGGTGCGTGCGTGCGTGCGTGCGTGCGTGCGTGCGTGCGTGCGTGCGTGTGTGTGTGTGTGTGTGTGTGTGTGTGTGTGTGTGTGTGTGTGTGTGTGTGTGTGTGTGTGTGTGTGTGTGTGTGTGTGTGTGTGGTGTGTGTGTGTGTGTGTGTGTGTGTGTGTGTGTGTGTGTGTGTGTGTGTGTGTGTGTGTGTGTGTGTGTTTGCGCGCGCTACGCACGGAGGGGCGGAGACCATGTATGTACCAAGCGGTAGGTTACTTTAAGCGCGGTTCACGTTGTTTGGGGTCGTTTATATTGGCCAAAATTTTTTTTGGCGTAATTGGTCTTGAGCTGCGAAGACCATATAGTGCAATTTATTCTGCATATCCGGCTGTAAGGCTGCGATCTCTTGCCAAATCAGAGATGTCGTTGAAGTCATTCAGGTTCTCGGTTTTGTTGTTGCAGCTGGCGTCGCACGCAACGCAAGCAGTTTTATAGACAAAAGACAATATACGCCTAGCGTTTTTATTTATTTATTTATTTATTTATTTATTTATTTATTTATTTATTTATTTATTTATTTATTTATTTATTTATTTGTACACGTACCTACACTGCCCTCTTGTTGTAGGGGGTTTAAAAATGAAAAATATTGGCCCCATATCTGCATGTTACACTGCAAATATCGTCGGAAGACGATAGTCTTGCATCTGGAAAGAATGAACAAAACGTTAATTTGATGTTCAGCAAAAGGAAATCAGTGAATGGTATTCTGGGGGCGTTGTGTTTGAGTGCCTTGAGCGTGCAGCGAAGTCAAACGAGTGCATCGAGCACGTCACACTTGAGACATGAGCGCCATCTGGCAATTGTCTTGAAAAACGAAGCGCGCAGCGTGCGCCCCCGTCTCGCAGACGACAAGGTGTAGAACGCAAAGCGACGGGAAGGTGCCACCACCGTGTCGTCTTATCAAAGCATTGGGAACGCTTGCCTTTTCGTGCAAGCGCTGCATTTTCAGCGCAGCGTGATAAACGCTACGGTCCTTAAAATTACCTTTATATGCTTTTTCTACTATGAAGACACACATACAGAATATTGACGTGTTGTTATGGTGCCTCAGATATGCGCAAAAATTGCTTTTTGAATGACAATCGTACAAGTATGAACACTGAAACTTGAGCAATATTGGTGGGCGCTGTGGATGGGGCCGGCCGTTTGGGGTATCTTTTGGTGCCGTTTAGGGTGTCGTCAAGGGCAGACAAAGAGACAAATGTACAGACACATTGACAGACAGGCAAAAATTTTTGCGTCGGACTGGGTAAGGGTAGAACCCCTCATGCAACGCCCTGTCGGCGCGTGTGACCTGGGTGCGAAGGGTAGGGGTAAGCATGTGCCCCTTACACACTGCTCCTCCCAATCTCCCGAAGCCCGAGCACTCGCGTTGGTCATTGCTAGATTTTCACCACTGAAAGAGCTTTCTCAATGTGATAAGCAAATTTATTAATTCACAAGGAACTTATGCCGCACTCAAGAATAATTGACGGCTTTATTAACCTTTCGGTAGTTAGCAAGTCAGACAGTCAAACTATAGCCAGACACAGAGCGCCAATAAATGTGGGCTTGTTGGTGCGTACTGAACCACCGCAAAAACAGTGCTGGTCTTGTTGCTTCTATGTACCACGCTAGCGCCACTTTTCTGAAAAATGAGACATAGCTCAACCGGCCATAATGCAACGATTCTTGGATCAACTGTTATTTCTAATTAGCCACTGTGTACATGTTTGACGTAGACAAAATGATCTTCATCTTCATAATATTTGGCCATATAATTACAGTAAAAAAGAAAGCTTCTTCAAGCGGGACATCATACTATTTCGAATTTTTTCAAGCATTCTAGGATTATCACACCATAACATTTGATAAATTGTATTGTCTGGTACTGTTAATTTTACCTTGATAGCGCGAGTAGCCTTGTCCATTTGTTTCTCGCATTCCAAATAATAAAAGCTAAACATCCATTACGCTTAAGGTCGCACTGTCACAGAGCCAGAATTCATGTTCTCAAGTTTATATAAAAATTGAGATAGCAATTAGTTTCATGGCTTCAACCAATTTGTCCATTTGTTTCTCGCATTCTAAATAATAAAAGCTAAACAGCCATTACGCTTAAGGTCGCACTGTCACAGAGCCAGAATTCATGTTCTCAAGTTTATATAAAAATTGAGATAGCAATTAGTTTCATGGCTTCAACCAATTTAATTATTAGCACGGTATTATGATAAAGTACACTGGTGGATGCTCTTTTCACTTATGCCTGAGTTAAATTCCCATCAAAGAAAAATGATAATTTGATTGTGATGTAAACAAAATTCACCAAGATTTCGCCAATCGCTTGCACGTTTGACGCAGCCAATCTCTGCAACACGCAGCTTGCAGAGCGACATTAAGCTGCAAACTATATATCTTTGAATGTAGGTGCAATGTGCTGAAAACGTTGTCAGCCTGCTTCACATTATCTGCGTGTGAAGTTGTATGGTCATTTGGGGGGGTGCAACAGCCCTTAAATGTCAATTTTTTAAGTTGTGGTTGTTTTAAATGTGGGCACAATGCGTGCATTTTGTTATTTGTGCAAGCAATACACGAGGTGAGCGTGGCCGCGCTGCTTTTTATATTCGATGAAAATACAATGATGTAAAACCTAAATAGAAAATACATCATTCGGGTAAATGCACTTATGAAAGCTATCGTTCAGTACTTCTTCAAGACTCTCAAAGTATTTAGTGTTTAATCTGATGGTGCTCGTCATACATGCGCGTAAAAACTTTTGCAGCACTTGTTTGGGTTCACTACATTTACCTTGAGCCAAAATATTAGTTTTTTATGAGATGGCCGAGTTTTCCTGTACAGCTTTATCCCCATTATACTGGGTACGAGCTGGGGTACTTCCATATACTTTTTTTCTGGCCCCACAATAAAAATCGTTATAGCTCTGCCGGTCTAGAAGACGGCAAGCTTCCCAACTTCAAGTCTATCAGCATGCCAGCGCACGGAAAAGTGACACCTTTGCCGTGCATGTTTTTTACCCGAATCACAGTGCTTGACACGAAGGACGCTCCAGGAGTTTTCTTAATTTCGCAAACGCCCTTCCTCTCGATGCACACTAACACAAAGTACTCGTAAAACCGCGTGGAACGCCGATGAAGCTGACAAGCTCCCGTCGCAGCAGCCTAAACTACCGTCTTCGCCATGTTAGCTGGCAGCGCCTTCGGGTGTCACGCCATGTTTTGCCCTAGGGGAGATATTGTTGAAAATAAAGGAGGAAGAAGGCACGGCGGGTA